TTTTTTTCCCATTTTATGACATTTCTTGCCACTGTTAGGTTGAATCATTGCGGTTATCAATTTAATAACACAGTTGTTAAGCGAATCTGGCTTCCCCATTGACTTTGCTTGTCAGAAGGTCGCAAAAGGGGAATCACATGACCCCCGAGAGAGACACTGGAACCGTCGTAAATACGAGCCGGATGACAAGCATCTAAATTTTGATCACATGACTGCAACGGAATACTGCAACGGTTGTGTGGAAAATGGTCACAAGTCACAAGTCGCTTTTTTCAGTGCTGTTGTGACTCCAAACGGTCCCTAAACAAATGTTTATAAATCAAGGGCTATCTATAAGTTGTGTTGTGGTCGTTAAGCAGCCTATCACATGACCAGACTCGATTTTACAACCGTTTTAATGATTGCATAAAGTGAGTCACCATGGTTATGAAGCAAATCATACGGGCTCCATCCCACTCTGGGTTGGCAAAACCAAGTCTTCAAGACTTTACGAAAGAGTGTAAAATTAGGGGCCAGTCTAATCTCTAATTTTAATTTTTTAAAATGTTATCTAATTCTGGGTTTTATTTAATTGGCCAAACTAAGTAATAATTTTAATTAGCAATTTTATGATGTTTGTGTGTCTATATTTTTCTTGGCTTTACACCGCCTTGAGTCCTAAGGGAGAAAGGCGGCATAGAAATATAATTAATAATAAATAAATAAATAATCTCTGCAGGGATGATATTCCCAAAGGGAAAGCGCCACCACAGAGAAGGCCCTTCTTCTGGGTCCTGCCAGATGTACCTACCTAGGGCAGTGATGGCTAACCTTTTTTTCCTCGGGTGCCGAAAGCAAGTATGTGTGCGCATGCCGACACCCATAATGCAATGTATTCCTGCAGGGCCGCCCGCGCTCAACCCACCCCACTTGCGCATGCGCGCATGCCCCCCGCTCACCCCCGCCCTGCGCATGTGTGGGAAAACCCCTCTGCCCGTTTTGGTGCTAGCAGACCTCCCTGAAGCATCCTGGAACAAAAATAGGGCGGGGGGGTACGGCGCCCCCCCTCCGTTTTGGTGCTAGCAGGCCTCCCTGAAGCCTCCTGGAACCACAAACGGGCCATGGGTCCCCATAGGTTCACCATCACGTCCCTAGGGGTTGGGACCCACAACATTCCTTACCTCCCCACTCTACTGAGTCAAGTGGATGCAACTCGGAAGAGACGGTCCCTCAGATAAACCGTTCCCAAGCCATGAAGGGCTTTAAAGGCCACAACCAGCCCCTTGATTTGCACCCGGAAGCAAATTGACAGCCAATGCAGTTCCCGCAGGAGAGGTGGTACAGGTGCACACCTGGTTCTGTACAAAACCATGCGAGCCGCTGCATTTTGAACTAATTGGAGCTTCCAAATGCTTTTTCAAGGGCAGCCCCATGTAGAGTATGTTGCAATAGTCAAGACAAGAGGTAACTAGGGCGTGAGTGACTGTGGGCAGGGATTGTTGGTCCAGGAAAGGGCGTAACTCTCACTCAACCCACAGTTGTGCAAAGGCCCTCCTGGCCGGTCATATTACCCAAAGGAGCAGCGGTCACAACTTTGAGGCTGGATTGTAAATAACTTTTTTTTTAAAGTCAGTTGTAACTTTGAATAGTTGTTAGCAACCAGTAATAAGTCAAGGATGACCTGTGCTTGTGTATAAATTATCTTTTAGTCAGATTTACTGAGGGGGAAAAATACTGATTTCCTGAATAGGGAATTCATACTACATTTATGTGGTTCTTATCAAAACTAAAGCCTGCTTTGTACAAGAAATAAATGTGTTTGCACAACACATTCAATCAGGTTAAACACATAGCGGATGTACTGGCTCAAAAACTTAACCTTGGATGGTTTATGAGTGCAGTTTGGGTCCTTGCTCATTTGGTAACCTTACCCTTCAGTGAATTGCATAAAACCCAGAAAAATGGGTGCAGCAATAAAATAAGCAAGCTGCATGTAGTGTGGGTGTATTTAGAGAACTAGAATCCATAACGTGTTCATATGACACATTAACCTGCAACAGCTTACTTAATTCTGATTTTCTAGGATTCTTAATCAATAACCCATAAATTAACTATGAGCTATTTATACAATGCCCTAAACAAGAAACAGGTGGTCAATATTTGCTTTTATTTGTCTTGTGTTTCTAGGAGCAATGAGACTTCATCGAATGAGACTTCGTCGAAACATCGCCAAGGTACTTCCAATTTTAAGCGGGACAAAACCCGAATAACCAAAGACCTACATACAAATACCCGCAAAAACCTCAGAAAACAAATATATATATATGCTTTCTTCTCTTATCGTAGGTTTTTGTATGCATTTTTCTGGCTAACTGATGTGGCTAACTGATGAAGACCAATCAGTCTGAAATAGATCTACATTAGTCTCCCAATAGGCAGCAAAATGCTTGCTTGCTGTCTGAAGGCCTAGGATGGTGGATGTGATTTCACTGAGCTATGGCTGCAAGTTGAGAAACTTGGTGGTGAAATGTAAAATTTGTTACTACCGGTTCTGTGGGCGTGGCTTGATGGGGGGGTAATGTGACTGGGTGGGCATGGCCAACTATTTTTTTTACTTTTAAAACCATTTTTTCTACAACCTCTTGGCCGAGGAGGTTGTAAAAAAAATTCTTTTAAAAGCCTCTGACGATCCCAGCTGAGTTGCCTGATCGGCTGAGGCTTTTTTTTCATTTAAAAACATTTTTTCTACAACCTCTTGGCTGAAGAGGTTGTTTTAAAAAATGCTTTTAAAAGCCTCTGATGATTCCAGCTGACCCGCGTGATTATCAGAGGCTTTTTTTTACTTTTAAAAGCATTTTTTTGGCTGAAGAGGTTGTAGAAAAAATGCTTTTAAAAATTAAAAAAAAAGCCTCTGATGATTGCACGGCTCAGCTGGGCATGGGGGAGTGGGGCAGGGATGTTTGCTACCGGTTCTTCGAACCACCCACCGCCATTGCTATCGGAGCAGGCGATCCAATCCAAACCGGGAGCATTTCACCGCTGATATATATAATATAAAGGATATTAGGTATGTTTGCCATCTTGAATATATACACTTATATATTAATATAATTATATATTATATTATATTATATTTATTATATATATATATATATATATATATATATATATATATATATATATATATATATATATGATCATGATTTTCTTAAATAAAAATTATATAAAAATAATAAAGGAGGGATTTTTAAAAAAATCTAGACTAACTAACTAAATAATCTGAGAATTTAAGAAAATCATGCCCTCTGTTGATCCTAATCATTTCTAGGACAATCCATAGCAGAAAGCAAATACAAACCATGATGGAGACTTTTTACCTAAGATTCCCTGTATCCAATTGTCTAGGTTTCCTCCAGACACTGGATGTGTTCACTCAACACACTGAACGCTAATCTCAGATTAACCAACATTGCTGCACTCATACAATTAACTATGTTGAAAAAATAAAATATAAAAATGATTTTTTAAAAACTTGATGCCATCCAATATATTGAATTAACATGGTTGTCTGGTTCTCACAATATGCCAACATAATATAATGGTTGGATTCATGTGACTGCACAAATCACCCAACCTGTCAATCACTGATCTAGTGTTTCTCCAAAGGTGCATTCCAATTAATACGTATGGATCTATACATGTATTCATCTCAAAGGGAAATGTTCATATTCTGCAAACACAGAAATGAGATGGAATTCTGGAAAATGGCATCTTAGGGGAGAATGAAAATGGATTTTTGGAGGGACATGTCAAGTCAAATGACTCTTGTGGAAAAAAATCTATGTACCGTATTTTTCAGAGTATAAGTCACACTTTTTTCCTCCTAAAAAAGGCTGAAAATTTGGGTGTGTCTTATACTCTGAATGTAGCTTTTTCGAAGCTTTTTTTCAGCCCTGAGGCGCTAGTGATCTTCCGAGCTTCGCCTGCTCCGACTCTCAGGTGTGAAGCTTTTTTTCAGCCCTAACGAGGCACTAGCAAGTGAAGCGATCTCTATGGTTTGTCTGCTTTTCTCATTGTTTTTCTCTCCAAAGATCAGTTGTGCTTTAGAAGCTGTTTTTTATCCCCAAGCAGGGGATAAAAACCAGCAAACTAATGTGCTGAAGCTGACCAGACCAAGGATGCTAGCCAGATGAATACCTGGTAGGCAGATTTTTTTTTTTCTCCCCAAAAACTAAGCTGCGTCTTATACTCTGGTGCATCTTCTACTCTGAAAAATACAGTAGTCACTATCCCAAAGGTGCTTTTTTCAAGAGGCAACTGGACTTTCTGGTTTTTCTTTGAAGATGTTTCGCTTTTCATCCAAGAAGCTTCTTCAGCTTCTTGGGGGAATGCTCCAATGGCCAGAGCTGAAGAAGCTCCTTGGATGAGAAACAAAACATCTTCAAAGAAAAACCACAAAGTCCAGTTGCCTCTTGAAAAAATAAAGCATCTTTGGGACAACCATGACTTGAATGACTGAGAATCTCCACATATAAGTAATCAGTAGGAATTGAAAATGGATGGAATATAATAAAAAAATGATTCATGTATAGTTTAATAATTATATTACCGTAGAAGTTTCACAGAGATAGTGACAAGGCAAGAAACGGGTACTCTTAAAATAAAACTTACTTCTCACACCCATTAAAAATTTTTGGTGCTGTCCCAAAGGATTTTACGTGGTGTAAGGATGAAGGTTTGGGCTAGATATGGAGAAAGTCAGATTCAAATCTCACTCTGGCCATGGAAGATACTGGTTTGTTCATGTGATTTTTATCTGGCCTTTATTTTTTTTTTTACAAATAACTCAAGGCAAACATATCCAACATCCCTTCCTCCTCCTATTTTTCCCACAACAACAATCCTGTGAGGGGGGTTGGTCTGAGTGAGAGGGACCGGCCCAATCTACCTCAGTAGCTAGGCCTCTTTGTGCTATGGAATGAAAGGCAGAATATAAATAAAATCATAAGCTTGTAGGGAACTATATTAAACTGAATGGGGTTTATTCTGGCGTATATACATACATAAAAAAGATACAGCAAATGAAAAAAAAAAGTTTTTCAGCTAGTACAAGAAGATTTATTTATTTAATTACACATGTAAGGTCACCCAATTCTATGTCTACCCCGGGCAGCACACAATGTGATTTAAGTTAGGTATACATTACATATTTTAACTGTTCTGTAGGGATGCCTGCTGGTGATTCCAGCTGAAATGCTCAGAAATCAGGGTTTGCTTTAGGAGCATAATCAACCATAGATGTGCCTGGGGCTTCATGTTGATGCCAGGGTCCATCTCCCCTTTCGTACATCAGATGGCTTGCCTCTGCTTCCAATTTCCTGTTAAAGGAAAGAAGAGGAAAGAGAAAAAAGAACCTGTGAAGCAATATTTTCTAATATTAGCCATGTCATTATATTTCAATGGCACAGAAAACAGACTGTGTTTAATTTGACAAGCAAAGATGGAAAACTATATGCTACTGGATACCTGTGCTCCTTTTACTAAGCATCTTGCCCCAACCTGGTTGACCTCCAATCAAATGGACTTCCACTCCCAGAATTCCACAGGAAGCATGGCCATTGCTGAAAAATCTAAGACCAAATTGTAGACTTAAAGATTTCCTACTGCTCCGTATGTATCAGGAAGGGATAAACTCTATGGTCTTGCTGGCTTTCAGACAGCTTCCTCTCCAGTCTAAATAGAGATGTGGTTGCTTTAATAAGTTGGTTACTCAGCCTATCTTTTCAGAAAGCATCCATTTTATTTTTTCTGAAAGACAGTGTCAAACATGCATCTAAGGAAGTGAAGGTTAGATTAAATATTCTCTCTGGGGGTAAGGGATTACACTGGATTATCTCTCAGCAGATATTTGCATAGTTTGAACATGGTTTGAGCCCTGGGACTTAGAAGGAGAACTTTTCTGTGTGACATCCGCCCTCAGAAATATCGTTCCTCTCGGGTAGATTAGCCCAGACGTTCTTGGACACACATTCTGTCTCTCTCTACGTGCCTGTGTGTAACTCTATTGAATTTCAAAGAAACAGCAAGAAAAAATAAAGAAGCAAGAAAAAAAGAAGAAGCGGCTAAAAGGAATCTTAGGGGAAAAGCAAGATAAAAGTGCAAAAAGAAAAGAGAAAGAAAAAGAGGACCGGAAGATACGGCTTGGTCATCTGGCCTGGGGATCCAATAGCATGCAAAATGGCTGTAGTGCTAGGAAAACTGAGCATGCTCTCCCACATATTGTGTTATTCAATCACTTTTATTTTCTTTCAATGTTTTCAATGATTTTTTTTGCAATTTTTAGCTATTTGGTTGCACTGTTTTAACTTTGCACACTGCCTAGAGTCATTTATGTGAGATGGGCAGCAGCTGCATACATTTTGCCAAATAAGTAAGGCATTTCAAATCTTATCACAACCACCTCAAAAGAATGTATAAAACAGGAAAGAAAGAAAAAACAGGTAGTCCTGCATTTGCTTAGTGGACGTTTTAAGTTACAACGATACTGAAAAAAGTGACTGTTTTTTCACACTTACGACCGTTACAACATCCCCATGGTCAAGAGATCAAAATTCAGACTCTTGGCAACTGGAATGTATTTATGATGGTTGCAGCATCCCAGAGTCATGTGATCACCTTTTGCAACCTTCCAACAAACAGAGTCAACAACTGCAGTGATTTACTTGACAACTATGGCAAGAAAGGTCAGAAAATGGGGCAAAAATTCACTTAGCAACTATCTTGCTTAGCCACAGAAATGCTGGGCTCAACTGTGGCCATAAATTGAGGACTACCTGTACTGTAGGATGATGATATCTGTATTCTTTACACAGAAAGGAAGGAAGGAAGGAAGGGGGGGGGAGGAATATCTGAATGATAGAAAAAGCAAAGTATGATACAATACATGATGACATATTTTGTCCCCTTTATTATTTAACATTCAATCCTCCCCATATATATTGTCTTGAGCTTCCAGAGGGAAGGTCAGATGGAAATGCATTAAACAAGTTAAGGGGTAACTACATAAACAAAACAGCACTCACTTCCTAGCTCATACCTGAAACAACTGTTCAGCATTTCTGTTAAGAAACAAGTTTCTCCTACCTTAACTTCTTTTTCTCGAATTCAATATATAACCTAGCCATTCCCTTTTCATATTCCTTTTCAGGGGGACAGTAGATGTAGCGTGAAATCCACCGACTTATAGGATGCTGGAAGGAAAACCAAAGCAGGCATTAGAAAATAATTGTGATCAACTCTATTGTATTTTGCTTGCAGAAGGAAGCTACAGGCATCAAGTGGTTGGACCAAGGTCTTTTTGGACTTTGAAAAACCAAAGTCTGCAATCTGCCTTCTGTTAACTATACTGCTTTTCAGAACTAACCCAATATCAGCTTCCAAAACTTCCTCTGATATTTCTCATATGTCCTATATCACCCTGGAGAGGTGTTGCTAAATTCTGGTTTTAAATGAAAACAGATTCTCTAGAAACCCATTCAGTTGTGAATACAATTCTTAACAATATCATGCATACACATAAATATCACATTTCTTCATAATCAATACAACAAATTGGAGAATAAAAACATGAAGCCAATTACAAATACATTCCAATTTGCCTAATCTAACTTTCAAGAGCTTTATTCTCCTAAGGCTGACTTACAAAATTCACATTTTTTTTTCTTCAAGCTTTGTACTTACTTTATAATACTCCCAATGTTCTGGAATATAACCTTCTGGGATCTCAGCCAATTCAGCTTCACCTAGGCAGAGACAAGGTCATTGTGTTTCAGTGCATTAGACATATAAAAACATACTGATGGAAGAACACGAAGTCAACAAATGTTGCCAGTCACAATTTATTGCCAGCCTAACAGGAGGATAATCTCTACATTTGTAATCCTATTGAATGCACATTTATTCACCAAATTCAATGGTGAATAAATAGCTTCCACAGCTATTTAAAAATAAAAAAATATAACATGTATTGTACTTTTACGCAGCAAAGATTATGCAATACTTTCTTTTGATGTTTTGATTCACATTTTGCATCATGCCAATCGTCATCCTTGTGTTATCATTTTAATCATTTTTTTTTAAAAAATGATTCCAAAGAGGGGAACAATTAAAAACATTTCTAATAAATTATAAAAGAATAATTGCAATACAACATAAACCCGTGCCTGGAGGCCGTGCGGATCTGGATGGGGAGGAACAGGCTCAAGCTCAACCCTTCCAAGACTGAGTGGCTGTGGCTCCCGGCATCCCGATATAGTCAGTTGACTCCATCACTGACTATTGGGGGCGAGTCTTTGGCCCCCACAGAAAGGGCTCGCAATCTGGGAGTCCTCCTGGATATGCAGCTGTCCTTGGAGGAACATCTGACAGCTGTAACTATGGGGACCTTTTGTCAGGTTCACCTGATTCGCCAGTTGCGGCCCTTTCTTGATCGGGATTCCCTGTGCACAGTCACTCATGCCCTCGTCACCTCTCGCCTTGATACTGCAACGCTTTCTACATGGGGCTCCCCTTGAAGAGCACCCGGAGGCTCCAACTGGTCCAGAATGCAGCAGCGCGGGTAGTGATGGGAGCAGCATGGCGCTCCCATGTAACACCGCTCCTGCGCGAGCTGCACTGGCTCCCAGTGGTCTTCCGGGTGCTTCAAGGTGTTGGTTATCACCTTTAAAGCGCTCCATGGCATCGGGCCTAGCTATCTTCGAGACCGCCTGCTGCTACCGACGACCTCCCATCGTCCCGTGCTCTCCCACAGAGAGGGCCTCCTCAGGGTGCCATCAGCCAATCAATGTAGGCTGGTGACTCCCAGGGGGAGGGCCTTCTCTGTGGGGGCACCTACCCTCTGGAATCAGTTGCCCCCAGAGATAAGGAGAATCCAAGACCTTAGTGCCTTCCGCCGTGCCCTTAAAACCCACTTTTTCCAGCAAGCCGGGCTGGCTTAAAAAGAAATTTTAAATGTTTTAATTGGTTTGTATTTTTAATTTTGGGCCAATTTATATATATTTTAATTGTTTTTAATATTTGTATTTCATGTTTTTTAATTCTGGCTGTACACCGCCCTGAGTCCTCAGGGAGAAGGGCGGTATATAAATTTAAAAATAAATAAATAAATAAACCCATTTAACAAGCTTAAAATCATAAACTTCTTTAAAGCTATGATGTAGGAAAATACCAAAGAGCAGCACCAATTTAATACATTTGTGGATGATCAATATGTCTGAATGTGGGGCTGGAAACAGAAGAATGACAACATTATCCAAAGGAAATGGGAATTTCACAACCGGGATATATCACAATGGGACATAATTAAGAAAGCAACTTTAGGCTGCAGCATAAAAAAGAAGCAAACAAATAAAAAGAGCACTTTGAACATGCATCCAGAAAGCTAGGAGCTTTAGATCTTATTAAGCCAAATCTCCTTATAATAAAGAGAGCCGTGAAGATGCAACATGATGTAGTCCATTATCAATTCCATAAACCAAGAAAAAGCAAAAACCCATCAGGAAGCTTCTTCCGAGAGGCTTTTTAAAAAATTCTGTAGCCCAGCCATCATCATGGTACTGTAATTAATTAGACTGAAATTTCTAAAATTCCAAGGGAATGGATTTGAAGTCCAAATATCTGGAGGGAACACAATGGAGAAAAATGATGGTTCTTCCCAAAGATACTTTTTCCAAAAGGCACCCACACTTTCTCTTTTTTTTTCTCCCTTTGGAAATATTTCACTATAAATCCTTACATTCCCCACCAGTCAGTTAAAACTGAAGAAGCTTCTTGGATGACGTACAAAACGTTTTCAAAGGGGGCAAAAAACAAAGTCCAGTTGCCTTTTGGAAAAAGCACCTTTGTAACAACCATGATGTGGATGATTGAGTATCTCCATAGACATTTAGCTGATGGTTCTTCTCTTTTACAGGGAAAACAGAATTAATTCAATATCCCTGAAACAGCAGAAATGATACAATTATCTGCAATATTCAGCAATACAAACCAGAACAGAAGATTCTAAGGTGCAGAAGTACTTACCAATATAGATATTAGCAAAGGCTATAATAATGAGCACTGGGATTCCAGTTAACATAACGTACCAATTCTGTTTAAAAAATGAGGGGAGGGGGGAAGGCAGTCAGTAGAAAGCAAATCCACAAATTTTTCACTCTTTATTTATGAACCTACAAACTGAATTATTATTATTATTAGTGTACTTTTCTTCCACCCTGACATATATGCAGAAAATTCCCAGAATTTTCAGGAGCACTGAAAGATTAAATGCAATAAATTTTAGGAGCATTTAGAAATGGTCCAGTACAGGAATCCAAATTCATTTCATTCATTTTATTTATGGCCCCACAGCAAGAAAGGAATCTAAATTAAAGTATCCCTGATAAATGTCTGCTCTTTAATACCTCCAGTAAGGAGAGTTTATCACTTCTCAGAGTAATTATATCCACTATCAAACTATTCTATGTAAGAGGCTTTCTTAACATACAGTTGGAATCTGCTTTTTATGTTTGCATAGTTTGGGGTATGCTATAGCGTAGAAGGGAAAAAGAACTTATATTTGCGCTACATCATTTCAAGTATTTAAAAAAAGCTAACATACAGCCAATAACCGTGGTGAACCTATGGCGAACCTATGGCAAACCTATGGCAAGCATGTCAGAGGTGGCATGCATGTCAGAGGTGGCAGGCAGAGTCCTCTGTGTGGGCACGTGTGCCATTGGCAGTTGCTCTTCTGGGTTCCATCATGCGCATGCACACTGGCCAGCTGCTCTCTTCCAGGTTGCGGCGTGCACATGTGCACCAGATAGCTGGTCCATGAGGATCAAAAGTTGTGTGTGCTCCATCACTGGAGGTTTTTGAGACTGGACAGCCATTTGTTTGAAATGGTATAAGGCTGTGATGGCGAACCTAGGGCACGCATGCCAGAAGTGGAACATAGCACCCTCTCTGCCGGCACGCGAGCCGTCAACCCAGTTCAGCTCCGCCATGCATGTGCATATGCTTCCTGACGGCCAGCTGGTCTTCGGGTTTCTGCCATGCATGCGGGTGGGGGGCATGTGCACATGCGCAGAGGTGCATGCAGGGGGCCGCATGCATACGTGGGGCAGTGTGCATACAGGGCACGCGCATTGCATTTTGGGGGTTTGGGCATGCGCACACACACTTTGGGCACTCAGTCCGGAAAAGGTTAGCCATCACTGGTATAGGGTCTCCTGCTTGAGCGAAGAGGTTTGACTAGAAGACCTCCAAGGTCCATTTCAAGTCTGTTCTATTGTTACTGTTACCTCAGCTTTCTTAGAAAAACATTACCAACTCCCTCACCCTTTTCCACAAACATTTAATTTTTACTCCCCTATCAATCCACTCAGCATCTCAGCCAGTTTTTCAAATCCTTCTTAAGAGACTGATGCCCAGTATTAGATAATACTGGTGAAAAGTGGAATAAAGTGAAGCTAATCATTCCTGTGAATTGAAAACTATATTTCTTTTCACGCAGTCTAAAACTGCTTTTTTCCTCCTTCCGCTCTAACTTTTTCCAGACCCTGTTCCTAAACTTACCATTAATCTCAGAAACCGGTGATCATAAAACCGTGTTGCTCTGATGAAAAGCATCTTTTTTCCCTCGCTGGCATGGCGCAGTGAAACTGGAAAATTAAATTGGCATCTTAGTACAAGTCAACAGTTACTTCTGCAATAGTTTCAGAATGCAAAAAGCTCTGCAATTGTTGCCTTATTTTTCAGGATGGCTTTCACACATAGCCATTCTCCAATAGGAAAAATAAAGGAGGAATCTACCCAATTCTGTTCCACACGACTGAGAAATTCTTGTAAGATTCACTTGGTGACACAATGTGTTTCACAAAGAATGGTCCTTGGTTTGAATAATCATATTAGGGTTAATAGATCTGGGATGCCAACAGACAGCCATTAGGTAGTAGTACCTAAGTCGTAAAGCTTACAGTATACAGAGTCCTCAACTTATCACCAAACTGAACCCAAAATTTTTGTTGATGAGTGAAGACATTTGTTAAGTGAATTTTGCCCCATTTTATGACCTTTTGTGCCACAGTTGTTAAGTTAGTAGCATGCTTGTTAAGTGAATCTGGCTTCCCCATTGATTTTGCTTATCAGAAGGTCCCAAAAAGTGATCCCACGACCCTGGGGATACTGCAACCGTCATAAATATGAGTCAGTTGCTAAGCATTCAATATTTTTGATCACATGACTATGTGGATACTGCAAGTCGTAAGTGTGAAAAACGGTCATCAGCCACTTTTTTCAGTGCCATTGTAACTTTAAAGAGTCTTTGAAGTTGAACTTTAAGTGATCTGTTTTAAATCAAGGCCCATCTGTATTTTTGCTGGCATCTAGATTCTAGGCCTGTCTTAAATATCTTATTTCTTTTTCATAGGGCCATATGAAATACAGATGGGCCTCATTTCTATTTGTTGGTTTATAATTTCTTCTATTTGTATTTTAATTGTTTGCCAAAATTGTTCTGCCTTCTGGCAGGATCACCACATGTGGTAATAAATTCCTTTTTGATGTTTACATTTCCAACATAGCGGAGAAGTGTTCGGGAACATCTTTGCCAATCTGGCAGATGGGAGATGCCACCTATAAAACATTTTATACATGTTTTCTTTATAGGGTACAGATACTGTTAGTTTATAATTTATATTCCATAATTTCTCCCATTTTTTCTAATTCAATATTGCATCCGAATTTTTTTGCCCAAATTCTCATATTTTCTTTAACTACTTCTTCCTCCAATTTGTATCTTAATAAATAATTATAAGGGTTTTTTTTATCAATTTATCGTCTGTTCCCTGAAGAATTTTATCTAGTTCATATGTTCCCTTTTGAAATCCAAATGTCAGTTTTCTTTAGTCATCATATGCATTTAAAAAAGAAACAGTGCCAGGAACATCAACTCCTTATAATCCTAAACACAAGCTTGGGGGGGGAAAAATGCATTTTGCCACAGCCTTTTTGACGAGGACTCGGGGAGCTCAGCCCAACCTACCTACCTCACAAGGCTGTTGTGAGGGGGGGAAAATTAAGCAGCTCCAGAAGGAAAAGCGGAAATCTAGCAAAATAAATAAACAACAACATTGGCTCAATCTCCCAGTTTCGTTTCTCAGATTGCGGTTAATGCCGCTCCCCCGTTTTCAATCCTATTGCACTCCAGGCAGAAACTCAACTGGTGAAGCTGCTGCAGGAGGGAGGACATTTCCCTCACCACCTTCAGGGGCATCTCGACACCCTTCCCAGCTCTGTCCGCTTCCAAGGTCAATTGGCCTGGAAACCTCCGGGCATCTCCTGCCACCCCAGCCCGTCCCTACCGATCACTCCGGAGCGACTGGCACTCGGGCCTAGCAAGGCACTCCGCCCGAGCCCCGCGGACAAGGTCAGCGGCTGCCGGAGGCCGGCCCGGCCTGCCGTTCTCAAGAGGAGACTCATGACCGCCATTTCTGGTTCGGGCAAAGCCGCGAAGCTCGCAGTCGTCCTTTGCAGAGAACGCTCAGGGCTGAAGCCGCGCTGCCGCCATCTTTACGCCGGGCTGCGAGGGGAAAAAAAAAAAAAAAAGTACCACCGACAAGGAACAAGCTAGAGGGGCTCCGTCGAATTGCCCAGAGAAAGGAATTGTGGGAAGACGGCGGAGGCGTCATGGCGCTGACGGCGGTTTGCCGACGGTTATCCACCGTGCTTCGGGTGACCGGCGCGAGTCGAGGCGGCGCGGCGGCTTCGGCTTCCAGGTGGGGGGAGGTCCTGTCGAGCGGGAAAAAAGAGCCGGGGATACAAATTGGCTTTGAAGGGCTTGCAGGAGAAAGTGCGAATGGTGGCGAAGATGGGGAGCCTCCCCTGGCAAAGAAATGCATTTTGAGGAAGGGGCATATAATAGGATTGAAGCCTTTTCTGGGAAACTGAATATAGAATAGAGCTGGAAGGGACCTCGGAGGTCTTCTAGTCCAGCCCCCTGCTCAAGCAGGAGACCTTATACCCTTTCAGACCAATGGCTGTCCAATCTCTTCTTTAAAAACCTCCAGTGATGGAGCACCGACAACTTCTAGTGGCAAGCTGTTCCACTGGTTAATTGTCCTCACTGTTGGGAAATTTCTCCTTAGTTCCAGGTTGCTTCTCTCCTTGATTAGTTTCCATCCCTTGCTTCTTGTCTTGCCTTCTGGTGCTTTGGAAAATAATTTGACCCCCCTCTTCTTTGTGGCAACCCCTCAAATACTGGAATGCTGCTATCATGTGTCCCCCCCCAGTCCTTTTTTTCTCTAGACTGGCCAAACCCAAATCCTGCAACTGTTCTTCATATGTTTTAGTTTCCAGGCCTTGGATCATCTTAGTTGCTCTTCTCTGAACTTTTTCCAAAATCTCAACATCTTTTTTTTTTATAGTATGGGGACCAAAACTAGATGCAGTATTCCAGGTGTGGTCTTACTAGGGTTTGATAAAACGATACTAATATTATTTTTTTTGCTTTTAATTTATATGCTTTTTTTTTGCTTTTAATTTATATGCCGCCCTTCTCCAGAGACTCAGGGCGGCTTACAATGCGTTAAGCAATAGCCTTCATACTTTTGTATATTTATACAAAGTCAGCTTATTGCCCCCACAATCTGGGTCCTCATTTCACCTACCTTTGAAAGGATGGAAGGCTGAGTCAACCTTGAGCCTGGTGAGATTTGAACTTGCAGTAATTGCAAGCAGCAGTTGTTAATAACACTCTTACAGGCTCTTAAACAGGATCTACTTAATGTGATCTTGATTCTATGCCTCTGTAGGAAGTTAGCACCCACCCCTTTCCTAGAAGAATGAAATATTTTGGGAAATATTAAAAAGGCAGAATATTATGTTTCCCTGGATGAGAAATGGAGAAGCATGTTTTAAAGACAAAGCAGCTCCCACCTTCCTGCCCCCACCCTTTTGTTAATGGGCCAGAGGCAGAAACTCAATCTTTGTCAATGGACCTCATCTGCAAGACAATGGGACCCATCTAGGACAGAAACTCACCACATGGCACCTGGGAAGATTATATCAGCCAGCAGGGCTAGCTAAACCCCCCACCCCCACCCCCTGGAAGTCTGACAACCAATCATGATACTTTTTCTGGGCCCCAGGAAGTTCAAAGCCAGAGAGAGAGCATAAAACCCGGAGGCTCGCTGTATCTGTCCCTTTTCTGTTCAGGAACTCAAGCCATTTGGTCCTGTCCACCATTAAGCCATCTTTCCAAGCAGTCTCCATGTTTCCAGTGTCTTTTTCCCCACTTGGAACTGAACCCAGAAGGATATTTCTTCCAACACCTTTGTTTATACAACCCAGTATTGTATTAGCTTTTTGGGCTGCTGCTGCTGCACACTGCTGACTCATATGCAAGTGATCGTCCACTAGGACTCCAAGGGCTTGATAATGTAGACCTCATGAAAGTATGAGCTTGCTAGGGAAAAAAAAAATTGGTAAAGCCAGGGTCTGGTTCCTCTATTTAAAACCATTCAGGTTCCCTTGGTTAAATAAGTATAGGTAGTCCTCGACTTATAACCATTCGTTTAGTGACCATTGAAACTTGCAATGGTACTGAAAAAAGTGACTTATGACCGTTTTTTACACTTACAACTGTTGGGGCATCCCCGTGGTCACATGATCAAAATCCAGACGTTTGGCAACTGGTTCATATTTATGATGGTTGCAATATCCCGGAGGTTATTTTGATCGCCTTTTGCGACCTTCATACAAACAGAGTCAATGGGGAACCCAGATTCACTTTACAGCCACTTTACAGTGTTACTAACTTAAAAACTGCCGTGGTTCACTTAGCAAGTGTGGCAAGAAAGGTTTTGAAATGGAGCAAAACTCATTTAACAACTGTCTCACTTAGCGACAGAAATTTTTGGCAGTCAGAGGTTGAGAACTACCTGTAAAACCTGAGTATTTACTTTTAACTAGAGAATAATTTTTAGCCAAGTGACTGACAATAATGTTAATGGTGCTTCTGAAACTAGATAGTATTTTATCAAAAGGAATATTTTAAATGTACATGCTTAAGAGGAAAAAACTATCTACTGGAACCACATCTGATTTTTCAATATGCTTAAAATGTTGTTAAAACAATTCTTACTTTTTTTTTTTTTTTTGTTCAGAGGACTCATTGGTGATTGGCCAAAAAAGTCTACAGAAGTGAAGATTTGTCCCTGTTCTGTATTGCTACATACATCAGTATCTCGAAATGCATTGGAGGAATTTTTTGATGACCCCAAAAACTGGGGAAAGGAGGTTAAATCGGGTAAGATACCCTTGTAAATAAGAGAATGTAGTATTATAAGATATTCAGCAACAGTGCATATTGAGTCTCGATTTGTAAAAATTGCTGCTTATAGAATCCTTTTTTTTTCCAAAAGTGGATATTTCAGCCATTAGTCTAATTGTCAGACCTGTGACTTTAAATATCTCTGATATTTTCTCTGATAAGAAAGATCTCCTATATGGAGAATTAAAGCAGGGAAAGTGCCTCAGAGGGAGACCACAGCTGCGATATAAGGATATCTGCAAGAGGGACCTAAAGGCCCTGGGAATGGACATTTAACTACTGGGAAACCTTGACCTCCGATCGTTCAGCTTGGAGGCTAAAGACGCAGCATGGCACTCTCCAACTCGAAGAGACACTTGTTCGGCAGGCTGAGGCAAAGAGGCAGTCCCGGAACCAATGAAATCTGGGGGCTGGGAGGGGACAGAATGTATCTGCCTCAGTGTGGAAGGGTTTGCCACTCTCAAATTGGCCTTTTTAGTCACACTAGATGCTGTTTTAGGACCTCTATCCAGAGCACAATACCATAGTCTCTTGAGACTGAAGGATGCCAATGCAATGCCTTTAAACACAAATTTTAAGAAATGGATTACAACTATTTGTATTGTCTGTTTTGGATTTACTTCTGCACGAGTAAAAATGTTCTAAGTTGTCCTAAATAATTTCATTGCTTTTTTCCTGACTTTAATATGCTTTAAGTTCTCCTGCATTCAAAAAGTATGTTACAAATGATTTTTGTTAATTTGTTTTGAGTGGCTCTGATGAAATCTGCAGTTAGCAGTGATCAATGGGTAGCTCCATGTGCCAGAAAACAAGGTTTTCTTTTAAAATAATATGTGATCCCAAGCCATAAATGTATATTGTTTGGCTGCCAATACCTAAGTGGCTTCTGAGGAAATTTTTCGTGCATCATCCTAAAATCCATAATGGGAAAAAAGTGTTGTGCTGCTTTTCAAGAAAAACCCGGGGAAGTTGATAATTGTTGACTTTTAAAATATAGATAATATAGAATAGTTAAATAAAACAACAGAAAAGCAGCAAACTGAAAACAATCCCCAATTTAGCAGAAGAAGAGACATAAAATACAAGTAGTATTGGACTCTAGATTTCAGAATATACAGCTTTTAAAAGAAAACCTTTGAGTAGCTACCAAAATACCAGCTATTTCCACTTAATCAGCACTGAGTAAAAAATTAGTATAGTCTTAAGATCAGGAGACTTTCAGGAAGATGCTCTTGCTTTACTTTGCTTTGTGGCTTCCACAGGAGATTCCTGGACGGTCGAACAGCTTCGAGGCAAAAGCAGTGACGATTTGCATAAGCTTTGGTGAGTGTTTCTTTGTATGATTTAAGAGGCCTGTCTTTCCTTGTGACAAGCTATTTGGAGAACTGCTTACCCACTTCAAAAAAAATATGTACCAGTATTAATTTTCATTTGTAATCACAAAGCCTTTTGCTCTTGTCATGTCTCTAGATCAGTGTTTCTCAACCTTGGAAGCTTGAAGATGGGTGGACTTCAACTCCCAGAACCCCCCAGCCAGCACTGCTGGCTGGGGGATTCTGGGAGTTGAAGTCCACCCACCTTCAAGCTACCAAGGTTGAGAAACACTGATCTAGATATTCAGAAATGTAAACATTTATAGCTCAGATTCTATAAAGGGAGTGTCAATGGAGAGGGTTGTGTGGAGTAGGGCCAGGTAAATCCAGTTCCAGTCCACTCTTATCTGCAAAAGAACACTGCCTCTCAGCCCAACCAATATCATCAGATTTCTATGGGAAAAATTTGAAGAAGAAGGAACTAAGTATGCTGGCTTGATCCCCTGAAGTCATAGCGCAGCTTAAACACAGTATGTTAATAAAGATTATTTGTTTGGCTGGGATTTTACACTGGTTTTAAATCAAAATTGATAAGAAAGAGAAGGGCATGAGGTATAGGAGAAGGTTTTGGAGTGGGTAATACAGATAATCCTAGACTTACAACCATTCATTTAGTGACCATTCAAAGTTAACAACAGCACCGGAAAAAATTACTTATGTCTGTTTTTCACACTTACAACCCTTGCAACTTCCCCAGGGTCATGTGATCAAAGTTTGGACGCTTGGCAACTGACTCATAGTTATGATGGTTGCAGTGTCCTGGAGTCACATGCTACTTTTTGCGGCCTTCTGATGAGCAAACTCAATGGGGAAGCCAGATTCACTTAACAAATGTGCCACTTACTTAACAACTACAACGGTTCACTTAACAACTGTTACAAGAAAGGTTGTAAAATGGGGCAAAACTCACTTAGCAATTGTCTCACTTAGCAACAGAAAAGTTGGACTCAGTTGTGGTTGTAAGTTGAGGACTACCTATAGATTATTTTTTTTAAATGTGAAAAACATGGGAAATTAAGCATAAATCGCAGAGTGTTGAAAGTTGAAAAGGGACAAGAGTGAAGAAACGTAAGTGCTGAAGTGCAAAAGTATCTAAGGAGGGCGCGTAAAGAGTAAAACATGCCTATAAAAAGAGAGTTTAGAAAGGCAAAAGTCCAAAGGACAGGAATGTAAGGAAATTATAAATAGTGGAGACATAGAAGAAAGGAGATGTGAAAATACGATGGAAGGGACATAAGTGGTGGGTTGGAAGGAAGGAAGGAGAAGGCTAGAAGAAGAAGCTAAAGCAGGCAGAGGGCTGGTAGATTTGAAAATTAGATCCTATTTTTATATCAAAATCTACCAGTGATTTTAGAGAAAAATTTTTTCCTAGAATTAAATAAGATTATTAGGGAATTCGTTTGGGAGGGAAAAAAATCGAGGATCTCACTCAAAATTCTACAGGAAAAAAGGAACGTGGGAGGATTTGGTCTCCCGAATTGGGAAATGTATTACAGAGCAGCAAAGTTGATTTGGATAAGGGAATGGATCACCTTAGAGAACAAGAGAATCCTAATGCTAGAAGGCCACGATTTACAGAGAGGGTGGCATTCATACTTATGGGACAAAGACAAGAAAAAGAAAACCTATTTCCACAGGCATAAAATTAGGGACTCCTTAATACAAATGTGGGCGGGGATCAGGCAGAGACACTATACAAAAGTTCCAAATTGGCTCTCTACGGTAGAGGCATTGATTTACCCCAACAGGTGGGGAATGGAGAAACTGTGCAGATACAAAGATATCATTGACGGAGGGGGAAACCTCAAATCAAATGATGCCCTGAAAGACCAAGGCATAACTTTAGATTGGTGGACTTACCTGCAAATAAAATCAAGATACCAGAAAGATAAAGATGAATTTGGCATAGAATTGAGATATAACGGATTGGACAAAATCTTGATGGGACCAGGGAAAAAAGCGCTGGCCAAGCTATATAATTATTTACTAGATGAAGATAGAAATGAGGATACAATTAGAAACCAATTGAGAGCATGGGAGAGAAACATTGGGCATAGTTTGAACTTTAATGAATGGGAAGAGGCGTGGAATAAAAATTATAAATTAACTAGAGCAGCCACGTATAAGGAAAATCATTATAAAATGCTCCATAGGTGGCATTTAGCCCCTGCAAGATTATCAAAGATGTTTCCCAATGTGCACCCAAATTGTTGGAAATGCGGTCATGGGCAGGGCACCTTCTTTCACATGTGGTGGACATGCCCCGAAGCAAAAAGATACTGGAGCAAAATTCGGAGATGGTTGAAAGACATACTCAAAGAAGAAATTGACTTGACTCCAGAAATATTTCTCCTGGGAATGGTAAAGAAAGGGCATGGAAAGGAAAAGGTCCACCTCCTAATACATATTACTACAGCTGCCAGACTGGCATATGCTCAATACTGGAAAAAGAAAGACCTACCACCAGATGACCTTATAATTAGCAAAATATTAGAGTGTGCAGAGACAAGTAAATTAACGCACGAAATAAGTGATGATGAAAATTCAGATTACGATACTGTGTGGGGAAGATGGTACGAATGGATAAATGATAGAATTAAGGAAGGAGTTTAAAGGTGCAGAAATTAATTAGAAATGTATAGTATAAAAGACACCAGATATTTCTTTCATGTACATATGTATAAACACTGCAAATCCGATGTCAAACAAAGTTGTTATTATATTTAATCTGTCTTAAAAAATCAATAAAGTGTAAATAAAAAAAAAAAAAAAATGAAAATTAGACTAGTGGGGAAATTCCACCAGGTGCGGCTTCTCCTTTCATTGTGCCTTTAAGCAACTCTGAGGGAGAGCTATGTCCTAAAAGCAGCAGATGATGGTAGCTTGCAGAATTTCTCATTCCACAATGTATGTACAATAAAGTTCAGCTGCATCTAATACAAGTAAATTTTCTTAATATGACTATATTGATATTACAATTAGTACTGCTGTGTGGCAGTACCATTTTATTTCCATTTAATTAAAATACATGATGATTTGTAGTTCAGTAAAAAAGCACTAAAATGAAACTGAGCTTAGCTATTCTCCATCAAGGTTGACTCAGCCTTCCATCCTTCCGAGATCGGTAAAATGAGGACCCAGATTGTTGGGAGCAAATATGCTGACTCGGTAAACCACTTAGAAAGGGGACTATGAAGCAGTATATAAGGCTAAGTGCTATTGCTATGGAAAATATTGTCCATTGTATAACTCAATCAAAAAATTGGGTTCCACCATGATGGAAACAACAAAATATTTTTCCAAGAAGGATATTTGTGTGTTTCAAGTATCCAAAGTATAGTGTTGTATTTAATTCTTATAAGTTTTAACAACTTAATATGTCTCCCATCCTAAATCTATCTCCCATTTCTTATTGAGAATCATTATCCTGTCTAACAATGTCATGTAACTTGCTAATAGATACTCTTTCTCAGGTATGTCCTGCTAAAAGAGCGAAATATGCTTTTAACATTAGAGCAAGAAGCAAAACGGCAGACTCTGACAATGCCAAGTCCAGAAAGATTGGAAAAGGTAAATTAGAGTCGAGAATGTCAATGGCAATAACCTGTTCTTTGTTAAAAATAGAGAATTAATACACAAGACTGTTTATGTGATTTAGGATAAGGAAGGTTTTAAATGTTCTTAATTCCAAGAAGTCTTTTTGATCCGTTAATTTGCCTTGAAATTTGTCATGAGTGCTGATTCTATGGAACTTGCCAGCTAATGGAGAAGATATTTTTAGTTATCTGGTTCTCTAAAGAAGCTGCAAGTCATACAGAGACTATATTAATTCCTGAGCTGCTCCTTGCTAAAAACATCTGATCCAGGCAGAGAGCTGGGTTCAGAATAACAGATTGTAAGGGATCTTGGAGGTCTTCTTGGGAGACCCTATACCCGTGATGGCGAACCTATGGCACATGTGCCAGAGGTGGCACGCAACACCCTCTCTGTGGGCACGCAAGCTGTCATCCCAGTTCAGCTCTGCCACGCATGCGCACGCGCCTCCCGCCAGCCAGCTGGTTTTCAGGTCTCTGCCATGCATGCACGGGGGGAGATGCGGATACACGGAGGACATGCGGGGGGCCGCGCGCACATGCGCGGGGGCCACACACACATTGCATTTGGGGGGGTTTGGGCACGCGCACATTCGCACACGCAGACACTTTGGGCACTCGGTCAAGAAAAGGTTAGCCATCACTGCCTTATACCATTCCGGATAATGGCTGTCCAATCTCTTAAAAACATCCAATGGTAGAGCACCCACAACTTCTGAAGACAAGTCCCAAATGTGCTTTTTCAGGAGGTAACTGGACTTTTTGTTGTTTCTTTTGAAGACATTTAGCTCCTCATCCAAGAAGCTTCTTCAGCTCTGACAGGATAGTGGGGAATAGAAGAATGGCTGAAGAAGCTTCTTGGATGAGAAGCAAAACATCTTCCCCCCAAAAAACCAAGGAAGTCCAGTTGCCTCCTGAAAAAGCACCTTTGGGACAACCATGACCTGGATGACTGAAAATCTCTACAGACTTCTGAAGACAAGCCATTCCACTAATTAATTGTTTTCACTGTTCTCCTTATTTCTAGGTTGGATTTCACCTTGATAAGTTTCCGTCTGTTACTTCTTGTCCTGCCCTCAGGTGTTTTGGAGAAGAGGTTGAGCACCTCTTGTCTCTGACAGCCCCTCAAATATTGTCACTCCTAGTTCTTCTGTTCATTAGACTAGACATATCCAGATCCTGCAGTTTAGTTAAACTAGACATATCCAGTTGTGCAATTCAAGACATTAATGATAGAGAGGAAGGCTGTTGACACCCTGTCCAAGATGCTGTCTTTATGACTTCCTGTTACGTTTCTGATAATTCTGATATGTTTAATGTAAATGTTATATTGGGAAAATAAATGAGACAAGAGTTCAGGATAGAAAAATAAGCTTTCAATATATTAGAGTCAATTTATTTATGAATAGATCTGCAAATAGGAGAGATCAATGATGAAAAAAGCCAAATCTTTACTGAGAAGTTTATGGAAGCTCTCACTCATCCAGGTCATGGTTGTCTCAAAGGTGCTTTTTCAAGAGGCAACTGGACCCTCTGTTTTTTCTTCGAAGACGTTTTGCTTCTCATCCAAGAAGCGAAACGTCTTCAAAGAAAAACCAGAAAGTCCAGTTGCCTCTTGAAAAAGCACCTTTGGGTTTACTGAGAAGTGTTTCTTTACATTCCCTATCCCTGTCTATTGTGGGGATACCCACAATTTTTATTTTTTTTTAAATTTGATTTATATGCCGCCCTTCTCCGGAGACTCAGGGCGGCTTACAATGCGTTAAGCAATAGCCTTCATACTTTTGTATATTTTATACAAAGTCAGCTTATTGGCCCCACAAACTGGGTCCTCAATTTACCTACCTTAGAAAGGATGGAAGGCTGAGTCAACCTTGAGCTGGTGAGATTCGAACTTACAGTAATTGCAGAAAGCTGGTGTTAATCACAATGCTATCACTCTGCTGAGCCACAATACCCAGTAATAAGCGGGTATTACTTACATAGGAATTCTTTCATTTGGTATTCTTTCATTTGTAAAGAGTAATTTTGGATGGTTTCATTCCTTATATTAAGGCAAAGCCATGGCTTACTACAGTGTGTGAATCTAACCTATAACTACGTAGACCTTGTTACAAGACTAAATAACCCTGAATGATGTTGAGAGTATATATGAGCTCCACCTGTTGAACACCCCACTTCTGTTTTATATCCCTCAGGTTATAAAATCCATGGAAAGAATGGACCAGGTCATTCAGGAACGGGAAGACGCTTTGCGACTTTTGCAGACTGGTCAAGAGAACGAATGGCCAGGCGAATGGAGATATGATTTCCTTGGGCGTATTATTTGGTAAACTGGCACATTAGATGTGTGGTGCATTTAGGAAATATTGAATAAGCGCGAAATTTGATGTAATAATAATTTCCAGGCTCAATGAAAGAGGTAGCCAAGTAGGAAAATGTTTGTCCGGGTTGTGGTAAGCACTAAACAGCTAGGACACACATGTGGGAATTGCAACAAACTTGCACCCTGAAGCACTGCTAGCAATTTTTCCATGACTGGGGATGTGGGGGAGGGGTTTCATGCGCTATCTAGATCCTGTTTTACTCACATGCATAGACCGGTTCCTAACGGGCCACGGTCCGGTAATGGTCCACAGCCTGCGGGTTGGCGATTGTGTTCAAAAGGGTTTTGTTTTTTTTTTATAACAAGTCAACAATCCATTGTCAGTCTTCATAGGGATATTTTAAGGAACAAATATGGTAATGATCATGTATTTTCAGAACATTTTTTTTGTACTTCTGCGCGAGCTGCATTGGCTCCCGGTGGTCTTCCGGGTGCGCTTTAAGGTGTTGGTTCTCATCTTTAAAGCGCTCCATGGCTTAGGGCCAGGGTATTTGCAAGACCGCCTGCTGCTACCGATAACCTCCCACCGGCCAATACGCTCTCACAGAGAGGGCCTCCTCGGGGTGCCGTCGGTCAGGCAATGTCGGCTGGCGGCCCCCAGGGGGCGAGCCTTCTCTGTGGGGGCACCCGCCCTGTGGAATGAGCTGCCTCCTGGAATACGATTGATCCCGGACCTCCGGACCTTCCGTAAAGCCCTGAAGACGTTTTTATTTCATCAAGCCGGCCTAGCCTAAATGGTTTTTAATTGGGATTTTAAATTTTATGGATTTGGGGTTTTAAATTTGGGTAGCCAATGATTTAATTCTTTTAATTATCTTAACTTTTGCATTTGTATGTTTTTTAATTTTGGCTGTTCACCGCCCTGAGTCCCTTCTGGGAGAAGGGCGGTATACAAATTAAATAAATAAATAAATAAATAAATAAATAAATAAATAAATAAATAAAATAAATAAATAAATAAATAAATAATAAATAAATAAATAAATAAATAAATAAATAAATAAATAAATAAATGCCAATGAATTCAAGCAGTTTCAAATAAAACCAGCACATTACAGCAGCCGGGGAATTATGGGAGTTGAAGTCCAAACATCTTAAAAAGCGAGAGGATGATTTTCTTTGGGTTGACGGAAAATTAGAATTTAGAAGCAGAAAACATTGTAGGTAAATCTTTCTGCAATTGCCTTCCAACATGAACGGTCACTTTTGTCCTAAATATTTTTCCCATTTCTGTTGGTGGTAGGTATACTTTCAGAGAATGGCCAATTCCCTGGTACTTGAACGCAAGGCACAAGAAGAAACGATTCTATTACCTGTCAAATGTCAAGCCTTTTATAAGGTAATAGTAGCATGCTTTAAAATGTAAATGTTATTATTTTTTTATTATCTTTATATTGGAGAGAAATAGCTTTTCCACTCCATGCTAACTTCTGGGGGTCGGTTTCATCCCACAGACTTCGATATGAGAAACTCCTGCGCATGAAATACAAGAAGGAGGCAAAGCAAAGGAGAGAGAAGCGTTTACAGGAAGAAGCTCTAGCTGCAGAGTCTCAGAGTTAATACGGAACTGAAAGTATTTGACGTTTGAGAAGACTAGAGGAATAACAAGAGGGCTGCTGTAAGTGAAAACATGATACAAATGCTTTGACTTTGGTCATTACTTACGAATGGACACTAAGGTGGGAAATATTTTGTAAGTTCAGAAAGCAGCTCATTTTTTTATTACCAAAATAAAACTTCTCCATACCTGCTGTGATTTTTTTTTTCATTTGTACCTGGGTCTCCAGTCCAGTGTAAAAATCTTTTATCTTATGTTTTATAAAAGCCGCCTGCAATAGAAAGGACTAGGTATTGTCTGCAATTCTCTGACTAGAGTAGGAGTGCCCAACTATGCCAACTTAAAAGACTTGTGGACTTCAATTCACAAAATTCTGGGAGTTGGAAGTCCACAGGTTTTAAAGTTGCCAAGACGGGACACCCTTGGACCAGACCCTTAAACAAAATAAAAATTAGTGTTCTGACCTAGACTTCCTGATATAGTAAAAAGTACACAATTAGTCCCAACCCCCCCCTTTTTTTTAACAGCTGTGAATTTCTTTCATTCACAGCACGTGCTGAATCACCAAGAGTTTATAAATAGTCCAACAGAAGTCTGCCAAACTCATTCGGATAAGGCTGGTAAACACCTTTATCTTCTTTGACACACTGCCAAAGACCTAATTGGCGATTATCTTGGCAAGGCCACACGGAAAGTCAAAAACGGAGCTTCAAAATGCAAACCGACACCATCCACAACTTTGCTTCCTGCAAAGGCCCACGTGCCTTTGCTCTTTATTTCTTATGGGACGAACCAATTATCTCCAAGCCTTATTCTTGAGTTGTCCCTTTTGTTTTAACTGTTCTTGCCTTCTGGCAGCTCTGCGCACGCACGCACTTGGAACAGGCTCCCCCTGTTCCTGTCTCTCTGATGTCTGACTCTGGAGGCTCCGGAGTCCACACGTAACTCCCAGATGGCCCTGGCCCCATCTCTGCCTCTGACACAGAGCTCTCGTCCGAGCCTTCCCCCGACTCCAGGACTGGCCCATGTTCCTCCCCAGCCTCCTCACTGTCCAACTCTGGTATGTGTGTAAGATTAAATGTTTTGATCCATTAAATATATGGTAGGGGTGTATCCTTTGTTCATTTTATTTTAGAATTTTTATTCAGCCTTTATTATTTTTATAAATAACTCAGCAAACATATCTGATACTCCTTTCCCCTCCTGTTTTCCTGACAACCACCCACCCTGTGAGGTAACTTAGACTGAGTGAGCAGGGCTGATGGTAAATATATACATAAAATCAAACTTTGATATTCCCAGCAAAGATGCTTGTGGCCAAGGTCATACCATTAATAACTGCATTTGTAGTACCATATTATGCTAAATCAGAACCAATTAAGCTATATATATTTTATATTCACATGACCCAGCTTGCTGTCTGAAAACCCCAATGCTTTGCAGTGAACATTGTAACAAACAATATAGACCTGAAACTAACATTCCAAATATTAAGGTAGTTGTGCTTGACCAGGAAAATGGTGTGAATGATTTAAAGTTATAAATAAATGACACACACCCCAAACGAGCAAACAGATGAATTGTTGTACCTTGGTTAAAAGTTAACTAAAGAAGGGAAAATGGATGATGCCATTTTAGAGTAAGCTGACACAAAGCATTTGGTTTTGTTCAAGAAATGAATGTTGAAAGCATACTAGAAGTGCGAGTTCAATATATCAAAAATAAACTCGATACAATGGTATTGGATAGTTAAATTTGTTTGATAAGAGATGCAGAAAGAGTGAATAGTGCTAAATGAATATAGACTAAACAAGAAAGTAACCAATAGGAAAGAAGTACAGAGGTACATACTAAAAAAAGAATGATACCAAGAATGTCAAACTCGAGGCCCGCAGGCCGGTCCAGCCTGCGGGGTTGCTTAGATCTGGCCCACAGGGCCACCCTGGAAACAGTAAAGGACAGGCCCGCGGTGCCTCTGCCAGCAAAAATGGAGCTTGGGCGGGCCACATGCGTCCCCCAGTTCCATTTTCAGCTGTGAAGGCCTCCTGCAACCCTCTGCCCACAAAAACGGAGCTGTTTTCGCTGGCAGAGTGCTTGGTCCACCACAGGCACTCCCAACATGAGTGATGTCAAGCTGGCCACACCCACCCTGGCCATGCCCACCCCACCCCACGAGGTCAAACACAACCCTGATGTGGCCCTCAATGAAATCGAGTTTGACACCCCTGATATATACCTTCTGGATATAGAAAATGTAATAGAAATATGCAAACATAAAAACAACCTCTAGGTGTTAAAAAAACCCCAAAACATTTACTTGAATATACGATGTAAAATAAAGGAGCCCGAAAGCCAAACTAGAGAAATTTATTGATGCTAACACAAGGAAGACTAATCTGTAAGCAGATACACTTTTTTTCCCCATCTTTATCTAAAGGCAAGAAATTACAACCATAATTTATAGATCAGTCTCCGGGAGAATTTCTTTTGCAGAAAATAGATATTTATACAAAATTATTTTTAAAAAAAGTTTGTATAAAAGTTATTGCATTTAAAATGGATAAAAGCATCCATGTGCTGCGAAACAGAACAAGTTTGGCCTTTTCAAATATTAGGATTTTTTTTAAAAAAACTTGAAAATCAGGATGCACAAAAAGTATACACTTCCTACAGAAGAGACAAAGTTTCAATTCCTGAGTATACTAAAGCTATAAAAAAATTAGAAGCAATAGGAAGGCAGATTCTTAAAGTCGTGGGGTTTATGGGCACTTTCTTTCTACACACTGCTTTCCCCCTTCTTCGTACTCCTGCTTAGAAATCCACATTTGCTGGAAGGTACCCTACAAAAAAAAATCAAAAACATAACCATCTCGCAATACATATTTGTGGCACACAGAAACCAAGTTATGCACAACCTGCTTTATGAGATTATACTATTGTCCTTGCTTTCTCAGTTCCCCTTCAAATTCCCCCAACTTTACTGCAGCATTTTCTTGCTTTCTTGCTCCATGCCTAATTTGGATTGTACAGGTAGTCTTCGACTTCACGACCGTAATGGAACCTGCCCATGATGAAACCAAGTTGTAACAGTTGTTAAGAGAGGTGCCCATGTGATTGCCTCGTTTAACAACCCAACCTCAGCTCTCCCTGATACAGTCAGAAAGTACTTCACTTAATGATCCCACCTTTACTCTTCCAGATGCGGTCATTAAATGGAGCATAGGGTGCTTTCGGTGGGGGATCAATGCCTGCCCCATCCCCGAGGCACCCCATGCTCTGCTACCTGCCCTTCAGGGTCCCTGCTGGTCTTGGGCCTATTTCCCAAACCCATTCCATTATTACAGATATTCCTCAATTTACAACTGTAATTGAGGCCAGAATTACGATTGTAAATCATGCCAATGATTAAGCTGGTCACCACGCCCAACTTTACCCCCTTTTTTTTGCAGCAGTCATTAAGCAAATCCATTGTCCATAATGGGCATTTTTTGCCATAAGCCTCAGTTTCCAGCAAAAAAACACAAATCACAGTCATGTGACTGTTGGATGCTGCAAATGGATGTAAATGCAGCCTGGTTGCCAAGTGCTCAAAATGCGATCTCGTAATCGCAAAAGAGGCGCAGCTGGCATAACTTTGAATTCAGGCCATAAGTAGCCCTGGGGAGCTCCATCGTAACCTCAAACAGTCACTAAGCAACCAGTCACAAGTCAAGGACTACCTGTACATACAAAATTCAATGCTTTTTTCCCTTTCTGTCTCAATCACATACCCTCCTGTTACACAATCTTTTTAGGAACCAGCAGCAGCCAGAATAGTTTACTAACCAAAGAAGCCAAGATGGAACCACCAATCCAGGAACTAAACCTTCGTTCCACCGTTGTGTTGTTTGCTATTAACTTCAACCGCATGCTCTGAAATCAGAAAAGAGATTGACGGTGCTTGTGCATCGGGGGCAGGCTTCCCAAATGACAACTGGTGATATTTGCTTATATTCTGCATTGTGGAACACATAGATCAGATAGCTCAAATCATTCCTCAATAATTCAACTAAGATTATTGCTTTATGTTAGAAGGGACACAGCTGGCTTTGATTCTTAATACCCAACGGTTGCATCCCAGAAATTGAATTAGCAAAATGAGTGATTTTCAGTTGTGCTATACCCTCCTTCAAATAAAGATAAAAGTTGGAGACCTCGGGGGCAAGGTCTCCCCGAGGGGGAGGGGGTAACGATGGTTTCATTCCCTTCTTATTTCTGACCTCCCCAAATAAATGTGATTGTGCATTTTACTGTTGAATTTTGGCAGCATTTTTAAAAACTCAGGAAGGGGCGGGAAGTAGCCACACCTTCCTGTAATATCACCATCAAGCTATGCCTGGAAAACCTTAATCCCATTCCACATCCACGGGCATTCCCTGAATTTTACACTGGCCAACTAACACTAGACATTCCTGTCATAAACAATTAGGGAAAGAAAAATGATGAAGTTCTTTCCTCAGTAAGTGCCTCTCACATGTTGGGACTACACATCCCAGAATTCCTTATCATTCAAGGATTTTTAGTCCCACCTTATCTGGAGATTACTGGACAATGAGAAGGCTTTCTAGAACTTCATAAACTCTAATTATATAGCAAGTCAACTATTCCGTTGCTTTAGCAGAAATCAATAAAACTGCTTAAGGAACATCTACAGGTTTTAATATGCTCAGCCGTGTTATTTTTCACCTCAGAAGCAGCTACCACTAGTATCAAATTCCCCATAGTCTTTGAAACTACATAATGTTTCAGTTTCGCGGGAAATTACAACCCAGATGAGGCAAAAATAGGAGAAATTCATCAAAATCTAAAGCCCAAACTTGCTAAAACACACAGAGCTAACTTAATTCTTTGGACTATGGCTATTAACACTGTTATCTTCAATAATCAACACAAACCAGAATCTTCTGTATCTCTACAGATGGTGGGTTTTAAGTTAAAAAAAAAAAAAAAGCAAAAAAGGTAGTTCCCAACATTTTTCAAATATGCCAATATGGGGAACTGATTGTAAATGTACGTATTAAATGACACACTTACCGGAGGGGTTTTCTGAGAGAGTTCTCTATTCAGCCGGTCTGTAAAACTCTGTAGTAGTGTATTTCCTCCTGCTACAATCACACTACCATAGAGACCCTGGAAAAGGAAAGCAAGGCACAT